ATGCTGCAGCCACATTCCTCGGTCAGTTCTTGTGAGGATCGGGGAGGAGAAGAGCGTCCACGGCGTCGCAACGTGGCCGGCCCAGCCGCTGTTTGCCCAACGCTTGGCAAGTCGCAGGAAGAACCCCCCAGCCGCATCAACGACAAAATGTTGCTGTGTTTGCAGACTTGCTGCAGCGATGCTGAGCCCATGTGCTGGCAGATTTTGCAGCTGATTTGCTACATTGTCATTTTTGGAGCAAGCCTGGCGTTGGTTGTGCTCTGGGCCTACGTTATCTTTCCTTTCCAGAAACCAGAGATGGGGTTTCGGGCGAATTGGGTGTTCAACTTTGTGGCCCATCCTGTCGCGAACTATATTGTGGCTCGGGGGGTGATTGGGTGGTTCGCCAGACAAATTTTGTGGGACCTGGAGAGCAGGTCTTCTTTGTGCAAGACGGAAAGATCGAGGATTAAGCAACAGATTGGAAAGGTTTTGAACCTGGCACCAATAGCAGATTCACTTTGGTGTGTGAGCGAACACTTTCTGTTTTCCTTGGCCAACATCTATCCAATTCCATTCTCAGTGCCTCTCTCATGCATCCCAGGCGCATTTTTAAGCATGGGAGTTTTCTACCGCCTCCTTTCCAAAGAAGTGCGAGTTCTCCAGAGCACTGCTAAATCCTTCAGATTCACTTTTTGCACTTTGTCTGGGTTCTGCCTTCTCTATGCTGGTATGCTCTTCTATACAGCCTTTTTCGGCCAGGTCGAAATGGGAATGCAGTTGGTGATGAGTTTCTCCGTTTCAGCAGTCGAGTTCTTGATGGGCAATGTAATCCAGAAGTTGGGCAACTGGTGGAATGTTCCTATTCACATCGTGCGGGAGCTGGGGACTTGCATGAAACTTCCGGTGATAGTCTTCAAAGCTTCCATCCTCTCTGAAGCCAAAGGCCTCTGGGTCTTTCTCAGCATGGTCCTACCAGAAGTCCTGCAGGTCGGGTGTTCTGTCATGATGGTACTCTTCAACCTCCTGTCAAACAACACGCAGATTCAAGAAGCCTTCGCCACTGTTAGGTCGAGGCAGCAGTTCGTTCAAGCCTGTTGCATTTCATACTATGAGTTCAAGTGTGTGCAACAAAGGCTGAAACACATCGTTCAAAGCTGCAAAACGACATCAAAAAAAGATCTTGAACGGATGGCTTGGACTTGGAGAAATGATCATGATTTGCTGAATGAGATCTCCAGCTCACTCACGGCTACAGTCATGTTGGAAGTATGCGAGGTAATGGCCCCTGTGATTTACATCGGTCTTTTATTGTGCTTGCAAAGCAACACTTTCTTGGCGAACAACGCCTCTTATTTTGTGGGATTGGCAAATGCCAATTTCCAGGAAAGCCTCATTGCCAACAGTTTCAGCCTTTTGCTTGAAGCAAGCCTGTTGCTGGTTACCGAGCTGTGCGTAAGGGCAGTGATTGGAATGAGTTTTTGTAGCTTCATTGGGTCGGTTTTGCGTTGTGATTTCAGGTTCTGGCTGAGCACGCTTTCCATGGCGTACATCGCCTGGCTCACGATGGTGGTCCAACACACCGGCCACGATTTGAAGTTTCAATTCTCATGGCTGCCGTGAGGCCGCAACGGGCTTCGATGAGCGAAGTACCTGGTCCGATTAGCATATAGCCATATATTACCGATATGGGATGAATATGGATGAATGAAGATGAATGTGTAATGTCCGGGTGGGGGCCTGGTTCTTGTTCTCTACTCTTCTAACGAGGAGTACATGCAACTCCTCACATTGTCATGTTTCCTAGCACATTGCTACCGCGGATCTAGCGCTGGCTGAGCTAACTAGCTTTTCAGCTGCATTCGCGAGTTTCACCAAGATCTTTCTTGCCATGCTTCTCTCTTGCCATGAGCAAAGCACTCTCCTATCAACCAACATGTTTCGCAGATCGCCTAGAAACTGCAACATGTTTTTGCAGTCTCTCGCACACGGTTTTGCTTTTGCATGTTGCGAAAACCAGCGGACTCAGCAGTGCTATGTTGGAGTTGGATGGAGTTGGGCTAACGGAGTGAGCTTTGGAGATTGATTTTGGACAACGTCATGAGTATGAAAGGTGGAGGGGTTGGAATTGAAGTAGCCATCCTCGTTGGATGCAGGTGGCTGCGCAGCAAGCAGCCAACAAGGTCAGGAAGTCACTGTTGGAGGCACAGCATGGCACGGCAGGGCGGGCGGCTTAAATGGCCCTGGCGTTCAGAAACTGGGAAGAAATGACAGGAGGAAGGAGAATCAGCGGCATGGTCTGAAAATGGATCAACCTTCCCAACAAGAATAGGATCCTTTTCATTTGAGGAAACTGATTCACATCCAGGCCTGGGGCCGCGACCGCGGTAAGTGGGCGCAGGACGGAAGGGCTGGAATGGCTGGAATATCAAAACAAATATTTTGTTGACGTAAACATGTCATGTTGAGCAGCAAAACTTATGTGATTCTTCGTTAAGTGATTCGTGATGGCATTCACCAGAAGGAGGATTGGATTTTTCTAGTTGTGAAGTGGCGATAAATCACCAAGAAAACATGACACCAATATTATGTCAAACTTAGAATGCACCAGGTCAATATGGTTGAGGATCCAGTAGAAAAAGATGACAGAAAACTGAATGAAAAGAAGTCCAAAACCCAACGGTTCATCATCATGTGCCCTATTAGATATGCCATGTCCATATGCCATGTCCGTTCGAAAATATGGCAGAGTGTCAAAACCCATGGGCACCCCTGTAGTTCACATCAAAATAGCTGGTAAATGGATGTTCATCCCCCTAAAAATGGTATGAAAATAGGTATTGATCCATACCCATATACCTCATTGTCGAACAGACCCAGCAGTCATTGTCGAGGAGCGGGCCAAGTTGACGGCCGCCGCTGAGCGGGCCGAAGAAGAAGCGAAGTCTCCCGCTTTGGAAAGAAAGTGGGAAGAAGATGGATTTAAAACGGCCACAATAAACATCAACGAATGATAACTAATGGGAAATTATTTCTTAATGACAACAATAATCAGTTTTGGAAACTGGCAATGATTCAATGAATTGGGATTTCACCAGCGCGGTGGTTTTTTTCTGGGCATCTTACCAAGCACGTGACGACGGCTTATGGCCCACCATCGATAGGGTAGACCAGTTGCAATCTCGGACTTCTTTTGTTTAACGATGGTGGGCAACCGTTTGACTTAACCCCAAAGCACCAGTTAGTTGGTGGTTTCAAACAGTAAATAGTTTTGTTTCGACCATATTTTGGATGAAGATCCCCAATGATTTTAAATTGCTCAGGTGTTTGGCTCAACCACTCATTGGGTTGGTTGAAGAGAAAAGTTACAGGCTACCGTGGTGCTTAACTGTCAATCGTCGGATTTCCTGCAAACTCTACCAAATTTTCCAGCAATCACTATGACAACCTAGCGGGATGATCAAGGGAACCCGATAATTGCAACAGCTTTTCGGGAAGATAAATTTCAAGAATATGGTCTTTCCGACCCAATAAGCGATAGATTCTCTGATGTGACAGTACTGTACTAATGGTGTTTTTCCCACCAATAATCATGGTAGCCTCTGGTAGTCAAACATGGCTAGCTCGGGGATTCCCACTGCCTTGTTGACACCGTTCATGGCAACTCCGTGGATCGGAAAATCTACGGTTGAAGCCCCCAACTCCTGGGAAAAACCGGGGAATTCCTGTAGAGTTTCCCCTTTTACGGAATCTCCATGGATTGAGTAGTTCAATCACCACATGCCGGTAGAATCCCATTTATGTTTCTTGGTTTAATCATTTACCCTCTGGTAACGGTTAAAACACGACGAGAAATCTCACATCTTGCCCTCCAAAAATAGGCCATGGGGATTTCCCAGAAATCGAAGTGTTTGAGTATCCTATGATATGCTGTATCCCCATTATATATCATTATATCACAATTAGAATTCATACAATTATCATTATACCGGCTGTTTTCGATAGTTAGATCCCCTTACCAGAGGGTATATCGGGTATATCCCAATTGGCTAGATCCCATTCGTCTCCCATTCTTCCATTTCTCGATTGATTCAGATTCAAGAATCATCATCCCTTTTTTTGAATGGAGAAAAATAGGATATTCATGGATATTAGCTCATATTATAGCACATGGGAAATGGAGATTCATCCCAATTTTGTGGAATCCCAATTTTTGCTGCTCATGATGCATCCCATTCGCCCAGACCGGCGTCAGGTTGGCCCTCCTTGCGGCCCAAAGTGCTGAAGCCGATGCTGCGGCCTTGGCAGCGAGCGTTGAAAGCGGTGAAGTCTCCGGGATCTTGGCCAAGATGCCATAGAAATAAGACTAGGGGATATGGCTTATCTATTGAAAATTGGATAGAATATGATAGAATCTATGGGATATGACTCATATAGAATATGAATTCTAGCCTCCAAATATCTAGGGGATATGACTTATTGAAAATGGCCATAGAAATAGTGGATTTATCCAGCTACAAAATGGTGATTTTCCATAGTTATGTTACTGTAGTTTACCAAAGGGTATTATATCATGACTGGTTGGTGGTTTGGAACATGGCTTTTATTTTTCCATATAATTATTGGGAATGTCATAATCCCAACTGACGAACTCCATCATTTTTCAGAGGGGTAGGTTGGAACCACCAACCAGGACTAGGGGATATGACTTATCATTGAAAATTGGATAGAATTATGGGATATGACTCATATAGAATATGAATTCTAGCCTCCAAATATCCCAATCATGGAGAATTGGGATTTCTGTTGACATATATTGATGATATTTGATTGCCATTCCTGTAACAGAGATAGGGGGGTAATCACGAAAAAAATTGGGATTTCATGGGATATTGATGGGATAAACCTTGTGTGACTAATAAACCGGGCTTGATTAATTGTGATTTTCAGAAAGGGAAAAAAAATGAGCCGCTCCTCTTTGGTTGATCGAAAAAAAATCAGACTTGGGATTTCATGGGATATGAATATACCCGGCCTGGTAAACACTTACATAACTATATGGAAAAATGAAAAATCACACAAAATCACCATTTTTCATGGGTAAATCAACTATAAATGGCCATGTTCAATAACTATGTTAGTTTACCAGATGGTATATTATATATATATGATTATATGTGAATGGGATATGATATAACTATATATAATTGTCATCAACCAACTTGATGTGATATTTAGGTGTGTTTGAACATATACGGTATCCCGCAAATCCTGGAGGATCAAGCTATGGTACCATGGGGTACCCAATTTTCAGACGAAGCCACATAGATAGCATGTGAAGATCATTTCCGAATGGGAAAGCCCTGGATTTCCATAGTTCTCTCTGGTTACTGGAGGAAAATCACGTTTCTTTTAACTTTCTGCCATTTGTTGAGCCGATGATATTTTTGATGTTCCCATTCGTTAATCCACCGTTTGGGAATCCAGAGACTGCAGGTTTTCTTAATCCCGCAAGTCTCTGTGTGAGCTCACGACGCCAATTCTTTTGGCGGAATCATGCTAATAGTTATGTGGTAAACCCAAATGCCATAAACCGTAAACCGACCTTTTGGGACTGGTTTCTACCACTCATCACCACATAGTGATCCCTCCTCGAACTGAACTCGAACTAACTCCCACCTCCGATTGACTGCAGGCTCGATGTGCCATGGAGGCGGAGAAGGTTGGCGCTAAAAACTTATCTTGCACTATTGTTTTTGGTCCAAACAAGGGGACAAGGGGGAAGAACATGTCGAAACATCTCAATTTTTTGGCATGTTAAAACATGATCAGGTTCACATGATGAACCATTGCCATTGGATAACCATTAGGATAGCCATCATGAACTTTGCTTACTCGCTACAAGTGATCCCGAGCACCGGCTCAGCTGTGCTTAAATCCTCAGGACGAGATGGGTCTGAAAATGGAGGATTTTTCACATGATTTACCTTGCAGTCATGGGCCACTGAATGGGAATACCCTCTGGTAATTTAACGTAACTATGGAAAATCACCATTTTTAATGGGAAAATCAACTATTTCTATGGCCATTTTCAATAGCTATGTTAGTTTACCAGAGGGTAAGATGACTCATCATCAATTCTTGGGATAGCTTCAGACAAAGCAATCCACTTCCCTGGCGGCGTTTTTTTAGCAGCCGCCAGACTCAATGATGGCTGGGTCCATCGGTATCCCCCATGACATGACCAGCAGTTCAAAGCTGAGAGTTTAACAATACCTAAACAACCTCTGTTAATTGAGTGTGATATGCAATATTTGATCATATCTTTATATGAATGTATAATAATGTATATGTATATATAATTATAAGTGATTATATATATATATATACACCGGATTTGCTAGGAGATGATACATCAGGGGCCAGGCACACCGGTGTTACTTTTGGAAGACATCTGGGCATATTATTGAATATCCCACTTAGAAGACCCCCTTGTACGGTACAGCACAGCAGGTGGCCAGAGCAAAGCTGCAAGGAGAGGAGAATGTTTGCACTCAACTGGCAGTCTCGAGCTCAGGAAAGGAGGGATTTTTGAAAAACCCATCGAAGCATCGGATGTCGTATCAAAAGATGTATCAAAATTGTCAAAGAATATCGAAGATGGGGGGGTGTAAGCTTTGTAACCTTATCGTAGCTGAGCAGAAATGGGAGTCTAGAACTAATCATTTGTGGGGACAGGTTTGCCAATGGCCTCCCAGCCAAACCACCCAGTTACTGTACTTATTTCGCTTGTCCCTATTCTTTGGGGGCGATTTTGGGGTATCCCAAGTTAGCGGAATGATTTTGAGACAAACCCACTGATTTGCAGCTGGAATCCCAGAAGTAGAAGCAGATTTGAGTGCTCAAAATCTGGTAAGAATACTGATAACAGGGCCCCCCAAAATCCAAAGATAATCCAAAGATGTGGGATCATTTTCCCATAGAATTTGCCATTCTATAGGTCTAGTCTGTTTTCATGCAAAGGTTTCATCAAAGAAGCCACTTTAGTGATCGGAGAGCTTTGGAGGTCGGTTGGAATGATGTCAACGTTTCCCCTAATATTCCAAAATATAGGATGCTTGATACGGGGGGGGGCAGGACGGCCCAAAAATTGCAACATGGAGAAACATGGCAACTGCCGTTCCATCCCAGAGCAAGCAATGTCCAACGGTTGTTTTCTATTTTTGCGATGCCTACTGCCTACAACCGAAAACAATGGAGAGGCACAGAAAGGTTGTTTATGTTCACAATACACCAGGTTGTTTGTTCTTTCAGTATGGGTATGGTTCAAAATGATAAGCCACAAAAAAATGGAAATCAACCATGATTCACCATATATGCGATGGTCAAGAAATGGTATATGGATGTATATGGTTCACACAATTTCGGACCATCGTTGTCGCTAACCTACCCCGGCGCTTGCATGGAAGGGTCAGTCAGTCTGCACATATTCACAGAATGGGTTCATTTGTGTTTGCGTCGAACTTTCCCTCTGGTGAACTAACATAGCAATTGAAAATGACCATCTATAGTGGATTTTTCCATTAAAAATGGTGATTTTCCATAGCTATGTTAGTTCACCAGAGGGTTGTTGTAAAGTGACGCCTTTCGATGCCAGCCGTTCCTACGATGGTTCTCGTTGCAACTGTCGATTTGGTCAGGAATGAGTGGGACTCAATGTTGGTATCATGGGAATCCGTTACAAAATGGGAATCCCAGTGAAAATGAATCCAATCCAACTAACTTGACCATGAATGACCATGACATATAACATATAATATGATTATATATATATATATTATATACATGTATACACATATCCCCACTAATTATCCTCGTTATACGCCCATATCAAGGAGGAAAAATTAAATAAACATACCCAGAATAGAGTATATATCCATATATTTTATATCATGTATACCCGTTATAACTTACCTATATTTACTATTTGAACTCAAATTGTTTGGCTTCTTGGGTATCCCATCTTTGACCAGCTGCTGGCGGATGCTGGCGGCCCCAGGCTGAGCTGCGAGAGCGCATCAAGCAGGTCTGGATGGGGAGGGCATTTTAGAGCAAAATTCGTGGTTTTTGCCACGTGTTTGATGGGAAATCAGAGGAGATTCATGGAAGTTCTTGGTTTGTATGTGGGCAATTTAGGGTAATTTCATGTTTTTTCAATGGTTCTACCATCGCCCAAATTAGCAGTTTGACCCTGAGAATTAGCCATTTTTGGAGGAAAATAATCTTCCAATCAGGGCAGTCATGTTGATTTGATGGATGGTAGCTTGTTTCAACCACTTAGGAGGTGAGATAAACCAACGAATGCTACGGCTGCTACGGAAATGCATTCTAAAACAAGCCAGAACCGTGGAATTGTGCAGGAAGTGACAGGGCTTATCAGATAGTCTAGTAGTAGTACCACGTTTTTCCACTGGACCAGTGGGTTTTGGACATGAAATTGGAGGCTTCTAATTGCAGCTGGGGCAGTCTGAGATGTCCTGGTCTGGATTTTGCCCTGACAGTACCAAAAAGAAACCTTTGTAGATTCCAAAAAAAGACGGAACCATTGGATACCATGGGAATGGTGTACCCTTTTCTGCCTGAATGTTTTTGGCAGCGGCCCAAGCGTTGAGCCCCTGCCTGTCACAGCCATGAGAGCCTTCCGTGCCGGGGCTGCGGCCCGACTCCCACGCGCATGCCGCAGCTTTGCGGAGAAGGCTGCGGCAGCAGCGCCCAAGGCCTCTGCGGCCAGTGTCGCTTGGAGTGGTCCTTTTTTTTTGTTTGTCTAAAACATTGGGCATTCCCCAAAATCCAATGGTTTTCCCTGAATTTGCCATTTTGGGAATGCACAATTCTTGAACAAACCTGAGTGAGTTTTGTTGGAATTTCGAACTTCAGAAACCCACAAGTTTCTAGTGACTTGTTTGTGTCGTTTGTTAATTCATGTTATTTCTAATTTCCAAATTTGATATTGAGGCTTCCAGGATTTGATTCCCATTTATTTTTTGGGTGGAATCACTCTACTTGGAAGATTAGTCTCTTATTTTTCGCAGGGGTCCGACTGCACGCAGCGACATGCAGCGAAAATCTCAGGTTGGCAAAGTCTCCCAGGTGATCGGTGCAGTGGTGGACGTGCAGTTTGACACGGCGCTGCCGCCCATTTTGAACGCCCTGGAGGTGCAAGGCTTCGAACATCGCCTGGTCTTGGAGGCCTTTGGGCCTCAAAGGATGTGAAGGGGAGGTTATGAAGTTATGATGCTTGAAGTCTTGAGTGTTTTGCTGTTGTTTGGCTAGAACATGTATTGAATTTTGACATCAAAATAGGATTTGATGCAGTAAAAGTAGGGAGTGAACCAACAAACATGGAAGTGTACTGACTGGTAATCAGAACATATTTGGCGGGGATGCCTATCCAGAGCTTGGCAAAAAAGGGGGTTTTTCACCGAAGAAAAACTGATATGACTTTGACCTTTTTAGGGGACTGAACAAAGTTTCTAAGATTGGAATTGGAAACAGCAGCTGACATTGTGAAGCGGATCAGCAGATTAAAGGTATCCAGGGCGTCATCTCAGAAGGCTCATGCCATGGTCAAACAAACCTTCTAGCAACCCAACATAGCTATGGAGTCTATGGAAATGGATGAAAATTTCCAGTTTGTAGATTCTTCGGTGATTTATACATTGATTTAAAATGATTTAAAATGATTTACCTAAGGTACTAATGATGTTCATGGTGGTTTTCCATGGTTTTCCATATGGCTATCTTTGTGTTATGCCAACGATTCCCAGTTTTTGTAGGCCAGGACAAGATAACCTGTGACAAATGCCACGGGTCCACGGCGGTACCGCCGAGGTGGCTCAGCACTTGGGCGAGAACATGGTGAGAACTATCGCCATGGATGGAACTGATGGCCTCACCCGAGGTCAGCAGGTCGAGGATACCGGCGCACCCATCACGGTGCCGGTGGGTGAGCAGACCTTAGGCCGCATCATCAACATCATCGGTGAGCCCATCGATGAGCTGGGGCCCATCGAGACCAAGAAGTGGCTGGGCCAAGAATTCTTTTCCGAGATGGGGAAGTTTTCGTCGTAGCCCAAGGATAAATTGCTCATTGCCCAATAAATCCAATCATAAACTGGTAATTTGGTATATATAATTATATAATATTATATAATTATCATTAATTATCATTAATTATTAATTATCCAATAAATGGGGAATTGTTGAATGAGAAACTGGACAAAAATGGAGCTCGGGATTGGGATGCGGGATTGTTCGGTGCAAAATGGAAACGGTGTGTAAAAACAAACACAATCCTATTTCTGCCGAGTCGCCGACTCCAGATATTCTCAAGACATCTCGAGAGGTGGCTTAGCTCAAAAAAAAACACGAATGACCTCAAAAGTGGAATCGTTACCCTCTGGTAATTTGTTACGTAGCTATTGAAAATGACCATTTATAGTGAGTTGTTCCATGAAAAATGGTGATTTTCCATAGTTATGTAAACGTTTACCAGAGGGTAAGCTTTTAAAGTGGCTCCTTTGGCATCAATTTTGAGGGACCTGAAACTGTGCCACACTTAGGTTCTATGCAATCCACAGGCGCGGATGGGCGACGTGTGACGTGTTTTTGGCACAGTTCTATCGGTGAAAAAGTCCTAGAGAAATCAGAATTGGAAAGAAGGACAGAACTTATGTTTTCCTAATATCTACTATATCCCACTATATTCCAATGATTTTCAGAACTTCAGTGGAACAGCCCTGTATCTACCACATGTCCACGGAGCCAAACCCAGTGATTATTTGTCCAGTTCTTCCGTCCCAGATGGAGGTAGTATACGCAGCCTACCCGGGCCTACAGTGACGGAGATCCCAGCACTAGACTTAGGATTCAAGAAAAAGAGGAACACTTGCAAAATCTCCACCCTTGGATGGTAAGAACAATGTTAGAACCCCATATGATAGATTCAACCCTTTTCCAAAACCTGGCTGAAAAACCAGGCCGACTCCCACCTTCACAGAGATGAACACCACGGCCCAGCAGCTCTTGACCGGAATCAAAGTGGTGGATTTGTTTCTTGACAGTCTGACAGATGTTTGTACCCTTGGGTAATTTATGCTCTGGTAAACATAGCCATAGCTATGATGCTATGGATAAGCACTTAAGTTTGGTATGGTATGGAATGATGGCCGGATGGCTGATTCATAGTTCGATGATTTACCACTTGTTTTAATGGTGATTTCCATTCGCGTAACGGTGACCGGTTCCGGGTACCTGCAACAGATGGTTTTTTTTTCATCAACAAGTTGCTGGAGAATCTCATGACCATTGTTCCATACGGTGGAGTTCACCAGCTGCAATACCTATGAATTGGGCCAGCAACTGATGTGGACAACTCAATGATTTCAGAAGCGATGAAACATTGATTTCAAGCAAAATAGCCAAAGATTGTGATATTGTGATTGGTACATTATAGCCAACTATCTCTATAAATATAGCATAATAAGCCATTTAATGCTGTTAACTATACGGACTACGTACTATAACTGTAACTAACCAACATGTTTGGCTGTTTTGCCGACGGTCTCCAAGACCCGACCGTGGTTGTTTTTCCTGATGAATCAGTTTCTCCTGAGGGTCCGCGTGCTTCGGAGCTTCCATGTTTGGCAGAAAGGTTTAGAAAAAGATGGGGGATATCTAGGAATCTATGAGCCCATTTGTTAAAACCTAAATATCTAAATATGGGGGATATCTATGAGCCCACACACTGGATTTTTCTATGAGCCCAGGTTCATCATTTGTTCATCATTTGTTCATTGTGTGTTTTTTGAAAAATCGTGGTTCTGGCTTTAGCAACTGGTATTGCTCATGGCTTGAGCACCGGTTTTTCGGGAAACCTTGGATCATCACCTTGCTACTTCATGTTTTTCATGGGGATGCAAAAAAAACTCACCAGCTTTTAAAAGAATCAGGGTATCTAAGATTGGGAATGGTATTATATCCCGGTATATCCAATGAGATCTGGTTTTTTTGTTCGTTCAATTCTAACATTTCTATATATGATTCTAAATAGTAAATTCCATTTGTTTATGATTCATCACCGTGGAAATGACACCCTCAGGTTGGCGCCCTATGCCAAGGGAGGAGCTTTGGAAGCATTTTTTGGATCTGTCGTGGTCGGGTGTCGCGACCTGTCCTCTTTGTGATCAAATGGATTAAGATGGTGGGGTTGACCAAGAAAAGGTGGGAATTATAACGATGATGGGTACCCTCTGGTAAACTAACATAGCTATGGAAAATCACCTTTTTTCAATGGGAAAATCCACTATAAATGGTGATTTTCAATAGCTATGTTAAATTACCAGAGGGTATATCATGGGAATATTCCAGCTAATAGAAAATATAGAACAATTCAAGCTTGCTCCCACCAATTATAGGTATATAAATATATATAAATATATATAAATAATGCATGCGTTCGGGGTGCTGATTGGTGATTTGGCGACATAAATATACTAATTTATATACCTCATTTGTGTTTGGGCTGTTGATCGCAACCTCCAAAAAGTGCAAAACATGATTAACTATGATAAACTCTGGTTTCAGTTTTAACATGTTTTAACTATGATTAATTATGTAACTTGAATTAGTGCATTGATGAACTCTCAAATTTTGGGGTACCAAAATAGTTTCCGACCAAGCCCATTTGGATATTTTTGTCAACACCCTTGTGTCCTCGAGACCGGCAGGTGGATCTACACGAAAGCCCCATATTCCGGGAGTAAAACCCAGGGTTTACTATGTTTTCCGTATAGTTTTCGGATGATTTCCAATCCATTGCCTTGCAATGTTCCCCTTTTTTCGATTTTCCTGATGTTCCATGATTTTCAATGGTCCCAACTGCCAAAGCTATCACTTCATCAACTACATCTCCATCGTGGTTCAAACCCATATTCTGGCAGAATTATGATATTTGATGAACATTATCCATACATGGATCAATCCCTACATGGAATATATATCAGAATGAGATATTCCTGGTTCAATTCCCTACATCTCCATAAGTGATATTTAGTGTACAGATTATCCAATCCATACAGAATTTGTTGTTCCAGCCGCGTTTTGCCCAGGAAAGATTGGTTTGTTCGGAGGCGCAGGTGTCGGCAAGACCGTGCCTCGGTGGCCTCGGTTACGCCGGCAACTTGTGGCCGTAAATTTTCGCCCTTTGGGGCAAGCTGGAGCCATGAAGAGCCCACAAAGAACTACATTTACCCTCTGGTTATTTAACATAGCCATGGAAAATCACCTAATCACCATTTTTAAAAGGGTAAACCCAGGTAAACCATCTATAAATGGGCCATTTTCCATGGCTATGTTAAATAACCAGAGGGTATATATTTACCATATGGTTATTTAACATAGCCATGGTATAGATGGTCCATTTATAGATGATTTTCCCAGCTATAAACCTCCATTTATCAGGGATTTTCCATGGCTATGTTAAATAACCAGATGGTATATATTTAACTACTGGTTGATGGTGATGTGAATAACTGGTTGGTGATTTGGATCATGAATTTTATTTTCCCCAATAGTTGGGATGATGATCCAATCTGATAATATATATATATACCCTTTGGTTATTTAACATAGCCATGGTATAGATGGCCCATTTATAGATGGTTTACCTATTAAAAATGGTGATTTTCTATGGCTATGTCAAATTACCAGAGGGTGTATATATATATAGAAGTCAAAGCCATCATGAGTTCCAAACAGCAAGCAGCAAATTGGCATCACTTGGACCCCTTGTATATATCTATACATATGTATGTGGGTTTCCATAAATGGAGGTATCCCCAAATGGATGGTCTATAATTGAAAACCCTACTAAAATGGATGATTTAGGGGTACCCCCATTTTAGGAAACCACCATATGTAGTGAACTTCGTGAACTTGCCAATCATGGTTTCATGGGTTTCTATCGACTGGATCCCTTCCTCCTAATACTTAACGCCCCCCCACCTCCATAGTAGATATTCAATTCAAACATATATCTAATATTAGGAGATATTCGGAGGTATTTTGCACCAGGGGAGACACTTTCTCGTGTTGTATTGAATCAACCTATCCCAGGATTCGATGGAGTCGCAAGGGGAAGAAAAAGGAAGAGGAAAACCATTTTGGAAAATGACTGATAATGACTGAACAGAAGAGGAAACAGAATTATCCAAAAGACCCGAGCGGAATGAAACGAAAAAAACAAGGGAGATGAATTATATGCAGATTAGATGCAATGGAAAAGAAGGGAAAACTCACCAAACGGAGGGGTTCATGGCATGGCAACTTGCATTTTCCAGCATTTCAGGGTTTCAGACTGGGTTCAGGCCCTGTTTCAGGCTCCTTTGGTGAGGGTTGTGAAGTTGTGTGTTTTCATCTTACCACTAAAAGATGACCGAGCTTACAATTGTTCCCCACTGCCACAAAAGAGCTGCAGAACCATTCCCAACCACTAAAAGTACAGCGACACAACTGAAAACTAGTATTCGGACAACTTTGGGTTCCGAGAAGTGTATAACATTCAATATCATTCAATGTTTGGAGGGATTTTCCAATATTCTGGGGAAGGTTTATTTTTTGTGGATCCCTCCATGTTGTGAACGGGGTGGTGTTTTTTTGTGGCCGCTTTCTCGTATCGAGTGTCAAGTCATTGTGCCCCATGGGATAACATTCAGCTGACTGGCAGATTTTTCAAGGTTGAAAGCACAAAAAATGGTTGTGGTGGTTGTGGTTTGACATGGAGCGAGGTTTCGTGTGTGGTGCGTTGATGGCTTGATGTGTTTGGCCGTTGGATCATGACAGTCTTGGCCCTGATTGCATCAGCCAATGAAGGTCGTTATCATGGAGCTGATCCACAACATTGCGCTCAAGATTCTGGGTGGCACTGGAGTCGAAGATTTAGATCCAAAGTTTTTTCAGCAAATTCTGCTTGAGCATTTAAATCTCATTATGTAAATGGAGGTTTCCTGAAATAGGGATGGTTTCCATTTCATCATCCATTTTAGTAGGGTTTTCCATGAAATAAACCATCCAGCTATTGGGGATACCACCCCATTTATGGAATGCCCCACGGAATCCATCATGACCCCCGACTGGGATGACTGTAGGTAGTTCCACCAGTATGATCCACCAGTTTTTTTTCGTTAAACCGGTGGTATAGTTCCACCAGTAAAAAACACCAATATCCACAGTTTATGGTGTTTTCATCAGTATGTTCACTCCGGAAAATTTTTAGAAACAAAAACTCGACTGAAGTTGTTAGTATTCTGAAATGATATTCCCGTGGTATACCCCCATTAATTATCATTAATCAAAACCATTGTTACCGCCATTCGAACCGGTGGCTGCGCTTAGGCATGGTGGCTACAGCGTTTTTGCTGGGGTCGGTGGGGAGCTCGGTGGTGATATGTATCACCAAAAATGGTGGGGGTTCACATGGATTTAGCCATCTAAAAATGGTGACTTGACTTAACCAGCAAAATGCTGGTAACCAACAAAATGCTGGTAACCAACAAAATGCTGGTATAATAGGGATACAATGGGCCAAGGGAATCTCATGGCATAATCTGGAGGAATTATAACGACCTCACTGCGACTTCACTGGAATGATGGTCAGGATTTGATTAGGGTAACGATCCCAAAATGGCCTTATTACTTACTCTTAAGCACACCCAAGGTTACCCAAGGTTCATTCGGTACGTTGAACATGACAAGAGTATAACAGGCCTACTATGGGTACCCGAATGTTTGAGTAATATGAACATTAGATTCTTGTTAGGGCCGGTCCTTGCCAAAGATAAATAAAGGCTTGACCATACAGTATGATGGTATGCATCACCTTTTGTGGCCCAATTTCGTCAATTAGGGGTACCATGGGCTACCCAACGACATGACCCATATTGCACCACCGAAGTATGGCCGTATGGCTTGTGAAGTGACAACATCTGGGTCTGTCTCAAAATGGGATACACCATCTATCACCATCTAATGGCCAGGAAAATTGTATTTTGAAGCATCAAATTTGGGGAAGCCATATATATATATACTTGGTGGCACATCCCACTTAGTAAGTGGGTTATAACCCCAGTTATAAATGGGATAAGTAGGGTCAATCCACTTATAACTGGCGTTATAACCCACTTACGATTCGTGGGTAGTTCGCCACCAAGTACTGTTGTCATCTCTTTTTCCTCATGGCTCTCCCTTTTTTTCCCGCTTCGAATTCTTAAAAAATGGGTTCCACTGAGGCGAACGTACCAGAGAAGGAAATGACCTGTACCATGAGATGATGGCCTCTGGTGTCATCAAGTGTCTCGACATGTCTCGACATCTGGTGTTGTACCGCTAGGTATTACCCGGATATATCCCAAACAGACCCAGCAGGTTGATAATTTTACCCTGGTAGTACGGTGAAATGCTGAGCATGAACAGAATATAGCAGAATGATTTTTGTGTTCTTGAGGTTGACGGTTTTCTTTTCAATTGTGCTTCAAGTTGAGTTTTCATTTATATAAACACACTTAAACATATATACATATATATATATTATACATACATACACTCTACTGTGTCTTCTCATCGTGATTTCAAATGCTTAGCCATCAGTTAAAGAATATATTTCCGGCACAGGTGTCTCATCCGATCTTGGAGAGTTCACCAACTCAATTGTGGCTGGATGTTCATTGCTGGCAGGTGTGAAAAATGCTTTGAATGGGAACGGACATCTAAAAACATATCTAAAACATCTTCAAACATCATATTTGATTATCACCTGGGTACTCCACATTTTATGCTTTCAGAACGAAAAATGTCCATTTTTCCATTTTTCGGCAACAAAAAACGAGGCAAAGCGCTTTCAGGGCGACATCCAAAATTGGATGCCGCAGGTTGTGGATAGCCAGTTGGTACCTTGATTGGTTGACCTCAGGAAAGACAAAGCGCCTGGCTCCAAGGACCACGGGGACCAGGGCGGAAGACTATTCTGGGTTTAGGGTTACCCTTTCTATACCTGGAAAATTTAGTATGGTTCTATGGTTATAGATGTTATAGTATGGTGATTCTGGAAAATAGTTATGGTTATTATTGGACCACTTATGATTCCTGGAATATTGAATACTCATTCAGGTTATGGATGTGGGTTGATGATGGTTGATGGCCAAAAAACAGGTGCAGCCAAACTGCACGGCAAGCGAGGCTGCTCTGGTGTATGGCCAGATGAACGAGCCACCTGGCGCTCGTGCGCGTGTGGCCCTGACGGGCTTGACGGTGGCGGAATACTTCCGTGACGAAGAGGGTCAGGCGAGGCGGCGGCCGGGGGAGGCATCTGAAAATTTCACTGGAATCCCCGCAGCATTTGATTAATTAATGTCATTCAATATCACAGATTATGATGTAGACACATCCGGATGATTACATATTAGGCCTTGTCCGAAAATAGGGTACCCCAAAATATGATGGTTGATGATCATTTTCCCCTTGACAATGGCCATATATTGGGTATAGCCTACTTTCAGCCAAACCCATGTGGCAGTATTAAGCAAAATGAGTAGAGAGTTGTCACACGGACATCTCACATGACATGTTGATGCTACCAGCGAGTTGGTGTGTCGCTCACGAAAGAGGCCCGGTTGGCTGGGAAACTTTGGTAAGATCGGTGAGTTGATGGGCAATTTGTGTGCTGCGAATGTGGAATAATATACCACGTACTATATCACAATCATAAGTAATTTATTTTGTCAGAAAAATCGGATCTACTTTCTTGCTTAGTAAAGTTTGTTGTACGCTGGGTCAACCTGAGATCCGCCATGTTAAGCCCATTGGAACCAGGATGTGCTACTCTTCGTGGACAACATTTTCCGCTTCACCCAAGCCGGCTCAGAGGTCCGAGCAACATCCGAAGAACACGTTGGGACGGGGCAATGTTGTTACGATTTCATGAGTTTCACTATGTTGGTGTTCCTCTATTTGCCCTTGGAAAAATGGTGATACACAAAATGGGACTGGGACCCACACGTTTGTTGCTTGATGCCCCATGTTTGGTGACCATTAAATCTGTGAAATCTCCATCCAGTGGTACTTAAATCCATCGGCAAATCCCAGCTTTTGCTCTAACAGATCGGATTATAATCCTATTGCTGACGGTTATCCCCATTGCACTCCATCAAAATCCCGTATAAATCCCATTAAATGCCAGCAAAATTCATTAAACCCCATGAAAATCACATTGAAATCAAATTATATCCCCTTTAAAATCCATTAAATCCTCATTAAATCGAACTTTTTGTCACATGAAATGACCTGCCTACAGCGCAACGCCGCGCCATGTCACGCCATGTCACGAGGTGTCTGCGTTGTTGGGTCGTATTCCAAGTGCCGTCGGTTACCAGCCGACCCTGGCGACGGATTTGGCCTCTCTGCAGGACGTCCATTGGGAAAAGATGGGGTGTTACTGAGGATATAAACACCTCAGTTGAAGGAATTATATTACTCAGGTGTTTATATATCTCAGTAACACCTCAGTTGTTGGGAAAATATTGGGATTATATTCCATAAACATTCCCAATATTCTTCCCAATAATCCTATTGCTGATTTATGGAATGTTGATGGAATTATTGGGAAGAATGGGGATACAGAGGAATTATATATAGTATTATATAGTGAATGATATAATAAACGGAATAAATTGGATATAAAATAAATGTTGATGGGGGATGAAATAGAAGGTCTTGTATACTACGTGAATGGCGTTTGTAGCATTTGTTTGAGGATGTTGATTGGGTTTACTACCATGGGCTCTCTATGATTTTGCTATGGAATGTTGATTGTGTTTATGGATGTTTCTGGTGGATTTATGGGATGATTATGTATAACCACTAGACAACAAAATCCACACTAGGGATAGCTATCAACCACGAATTTATAAGCATATATACAGTATATACATAATACATGTAATATGATATACGAAAATAATATATATATATATATATACATATTATGCATACAGAATATGTTGTATATAGTATATGAATGATATCTACACAGACATGTATATATTAAGATGGGAGCCGTCAGGAGCGCATTACGACCACCCAGAAGGGATCCATCACTTCAGTGCAGGCGCCGAGTGGCGGAGTGGCGGGGCGGTCGATGCCATGATGCCATGATTCGCATCGGTTGTGCTGGTCCATGGTAAATAGTGGTTAATCATGGTTACCCTCTGGTAAATTAACATAGACCCTGAAAATAGCCTAATGGAAACTAATCTTCCAACCCCTATCTGCCAGGGTCTATGTTAATTTACCAGAGGGTAATTCTGATTTATTGGTGATTAATGATGATTAATGGGATATACCCTCTGGGAATTTAACAGTTTGCTATTGAACACGGCCATTTAGTTCGTTGATTTACCCATTAAAAGGGATGATTTTCCACAGCTATGTTAGTTTACCAGAGGGTACCCCAAGGTTGTAATTTCAAAAGAGAAAAGGATTTTCTAACCAGGTGGATTTAGGACGTTCCCAATTTTTCACGCAAACCTACTTGTACATATCTGAAGTGCGCTTCCTTATTTTGCTTGAATCAATCCCCCAAACCACCGCTTACCCTCTGGTAATCTCACATGGCAATGGAAAATCCCATGGAAAATCCCCCGTTTCTTTCACAAAAATGAAGCATGAGGATCCAATCAGTACCCTCTGGTAATTTAACATAGCTATTGAAAATCACCATGTTTAATGGGAAAATCCACTATTAATGGTCATTTTCAATAGCTACGTTCGTTTTTTGGTTTCCTTCCAGTGAAATTCGTGGGGAATTTCTCAGCTGAGTGCCATGGCTCCTTTTCGCCAGGCTGTCTATGTGCCCGCTGATGACTTGACCGATCCAGCACCTGTCAGGTGCTCAGTGGCTCGAGTTTCTCATTTTTTGGGGAGTTTTATTTACATAGATGGGGATGCTCTACGGGTTTCTGTTGTTTTTTTTGGTCAAATTCATGGCCTGTCTGTTTGTGGGTCGCAAAAAAACGACTTCCCCTCACTCGCGCCGAGGCCACCACGTTCGCACACTTGGATGCAACGACGGTCCGCGGCCCATGAAGCCTGGAAAATGATGATCTAAAATGGCCATTGGATGGAATTTTGTAGCCTGTTTTCAGACAAAGTCATGGTTTCACTGGTGAGATTTCGGAGGGTACATCATGCTAAATCGTCTAAATAAGTATCAGGGATCTAAACATATTAGGGATCCAAAATATGACTGACTAGTCAGTACCATCTAAATTTTACAGTAATCATCATATTTAGAGATCTAAGTAATGGTAACATATGGTAACTGTATCACTTTCCACAGTAACTTCAGTGGTGATCCTACGATCCTACGATCCTACGGCCACTTCGGCTGTCACTGCGAGGTCTTGTCCCGGCAGATTGCAGAGCTTGGCATCTACCCTGCTGTGGATCCTCTGGATTCAACGTCAGGGCAACCGAGAGATGGTGGGATTTTTTTTGGATCCAATTGATCCAAAAAAGATGGAGGATACATAGGAAACCATACTTTTAAAGGCCATATTTTCTGGGGATATTCCCTGCCTGAAACATAGGCCTTATGGCCTTATGGTAGTGTCGTGTCACCGAAGACTTCACCGAAAAACCGAGACCATCCAAGACGTTGAGGTCGCGAATGCTTGACCCATCAATTGTGGGACAACGTGACTTGCCGTGGATGGGATGCCGACCTGCAGATGTCGCTGAACTTTGGGTTTTTCCCTACGAAATTACCGGTAGACTTTCAACTGGTTTGAATTTGGGGGTTGCCAAGTTTCCAATTCTTGGAACCACCTGCAGAATCGCTCGAGAATTCTTGATGTGTTTATGATCCATCCATATTTTGGCGCCTACACAGATCATATTCTGATCATGTACATACCCATTAAAAAATCAGTTTAGGATAGTTTAGGTGTAACTTGCAGAGGTTCAAACATGATACAGCCAATCTGTGTTGCTTATCTTCTTTTAATATCATATACCCTCAGGTAATTTAACATAGCTCTGGAAAATTACCAAAAATGTTATTGTCTGATGGTTCACCTATTAAACATAGAGATTTTCCATGGCTATGTTAGATTGCTGAAGGGTGAATCTACCAATATTCCATAAAAGTAATATTAGTATTCCATTATATCCCCATTATGCCACCATTATACTATATAGTACCCCAGTTTCTATCACATATATATATATATATTATATATGCCTTATTTAATGTGTCTATTGTTACCACATGCATCCAGGTCATTACGACATTGCCCGAAGCACGCAGAAGATCCTGCAGGATTACAAGTCTTTGCAGGAGACCTCGGAGTTTTGTCGTTGGCATGAACTGGTTGTATGATAGAATACATTAAAATACAATATTGTTACACCATATGGTATGCAACATAGTTAGTTATGTAATCTCTTATGTATATAGTATACAGATGTATGTGGTAGATATAATAGACATGATATATATATATACTATATGATATATATATATATAGAATAATTATTATATATATATTATATGCTATATATAAGAGATACCATAGATGATACAATAAATATAGTATAATGGATATATATATACAATTATATTGTAGATCTACAGATATTATTATATAATCAAATAGTATATACATTCATGTATATTATAGATGTGGTTCGGTGTTTCATCCCCATGTTTAATTTGTATAAGTGTATCACTTGTGTTGTTTCCAGTTGTTCCAACTAGTTCCAACGAGTAGATCCCCTGGAAAAAAATCCGTTGGTTGGTGAATATCCAATGTGGAACACCAACGGCTTCCCGTTCAGATGATGATCTACATGTCTGGTTGGTTTTCTACATATATATATAATATGCAGGAAGGTATATCCCCATGTATATCCCATTTATATATATATATACACTTATTTATATCCAATGATGATCAATTTTACATTTTACATGAACCATTTTCTCAATGATATCTAATGATTGTTATTGAATGATTGTCAATGTTAAACTAACTCCATTTATCATGTTCTTCTCCATACTAACATAGCTATAGAACATCCATGATTTACCTATTAAAAATGGTGATTTTCCATAGCAAACTGTTCGTTTCCCAGAGGGTAACCACCAGATTATCACCATTCATCAGCATCATTGACCATCACTAACCATCATTAACCATCATAAACCGTCATAAACCATCTACAAATCAGTTCGTTTACTAACGAGGGATTCATGGTTTTTTTCCATGGATTCATGTTTTTTTTTCCATGAATCCCCATGAATCATGATTTTTTATCACCACTATTGACTATTAGTATATGATCATATATTATTATATCACCACTAATATATAATAGTATAATGATAATAATATGATTATATATATATATATCACCACTATGATTATTACCACTATAATAATCACCACATTATCATTGACCACTGACCACTATCCATTTCTTGGAGCAGAGTCCAGCCTCGGGTCATCGGGGTCAGCGGGGTCACCGGGGTGACCAGGACATCATCGCCATTCTGGGCATGGACGAGCTGTCTGAGGAGGACAAGCTGACGGTGGCGCGTGCCCGCAAGGCGCGGCCGCCGCGGTCGCTGCTTCGGCCGTGGTGAAGTTCGGGATGCTTGGAGGATGATACTGATATGAATGGAAAATGATATGTTGTTGATATGATTTGATATTGACTATATAATATGATATGATAGGATATGATAGGATAACATGCTAGGATAATATGATAATATGAAAATATGATAGGATATGAATGGATATGATCTCATATGGTATGACTCAATATGATATACATATATATATATAATCCAATGTAATATACTATGATATAGTAAAATATAACACGACATAATATACTATCATATAGCGTAATTTAATATGATGTAATGTTGTGTCATGTAATGTAAGATATAAAGTATAATATAAGTCATATATATATAATACATGATTGTATAATATTGTATGCATTTGCGTGATTTAATAGTTACATGACTATACACACTCACAAATCGGCACATCATAATTGATGGTGCTTAGTCATATATGTCAGCTAATATGTAAGAATAATTGTATAAATATACATATGTTGTCTCAATACCCTATGTATATGTCCATATTTGTGCGGGGATGCTATGTTCGAAAATGGTTGGATACCCTCTGGTAATTTAACATAGCTATTGAAAATCACCATTTATAGTGGATTTTCCCATGAAAAATTGTGATTTTCCATAGTTATGTTAAATTACCAGAGGGTAGATACTGGCAACGCTGTGGTGAAGCACCGTCGGGCTCCCGTTGGGTGGGCGGGTTGCAGGTGCAACGTTTCTTGTCGCAGCCTTTCTTCGCCCGAGACTCGGAGTTGGTGGTAGCCTCTGGGAAAGGAACATACCCTCTGGTAATTTAACGTAGCTATGGAAAATCACCATTTTTATTGGGAAAACTCACTATTTCTATGTCCATTTTCAATAGCTATGTTAAATTACCAGAGGGTAACTATTAACTATGGAAAACCACCACTTTTTATAGGTACATAAATGAAAAATAAATGGGTGATTTTCCGCAGCTATGTAAGTTTATTGGAGGTTCTGTGTTAAATTTCTTCACACAATAGCTGCATGGCTTTGGAAATGGGTTTATCTAAAAGTGGGGATGAACCAAATGACATAGCCATTTTAATGGGGCAACATGATGATTGAACAGTTGATTTAGGAATACATGGGAAGGCTCGCAGCTGTATCAGCCAATCTCACAGTGAGATCAGAATTTGCCGCATGTCCAACGATGTGTTCAATTCCTGACCCTGGAATTTAGGTGGCAACATGGTGGCACAATCCTCAAAATAGTGGGTAAATGGGTAAAACAATGCCATAAATCATCCATCCAAACACCATCTATTTGAATGGTATGTTTACCATTTCCAGTCATGGGTGGTAAAAATGGCATAGTTTTGCCCACATTAAATAAAAGCCCCCCAGTCGTGGGTCTGTCTGGCTCCAATCCCCAGGTCGCGGAGATTTTCACGGGCACCCCTGGAGCCTTTGTGGATTTGGAAACCACCATCAATGACTTCGAGGAGGTGCCAGACAGGGCAGTTTCTGTTTGTCGCGAGTTGATGAGGTTAGCAAGCGACATCTGGTGGCTTTCGAAAAAACATCTGTGAACTGATGGGAAAACGACATTTTGTTGATGATCTGGTGGCTTTCGAAAAACATCTGTTCTAGTGTTGTTTTCCACATCTATAGGTGATTTTTGGGAGGTTAAGTCTTGCGGATGGATTGCTGGGACCATGATTGTTAAACTATGTTAATCTTGATGATTGCCCAGCTATCTTTTTTGTAGGGTATCTAAGATGCCCACGACCCAGCAAGTGGTCACAGTGTATTTTAAAATGCCCAGAGTGGGTCACTAAATCTGCAGAAGGGGTATGATTTTCAATGATTTTCATATATTTTCATATTCTTGTGTCATCTCAGTTCAAAAGACAGGTCCATGCATTTGAACATGAATATGATGTGTTATCAGATGTTCTCATTTTGTTCGATCAATCATGTTGGATTCAGGTGATTGGTGTTGTCAGATGTTTTACAGCTGGCTGTCAGATCTAGTCCCTTATCTGCTGGGGTACCTGAAAAAATCCGGATGATCATCATTCTTCCCGACGAAAATATACTAAAATGGCCATAAGTTGGGGGTGACATCTTCCAATTTTATTGGACAAACCATGACAAACATCCAAATTTTAGTGGGTTTTTGTCCAAATGGACCCTTGAAACAACTTGAAACCCTGAAAATCCTCTCAGTTCTGGGTCACGTTTTTTATGGGGAAACCCGTGGCAGGTCCTATCCGGCAACTGCGACGACATCCCGGAGGCGGGTCGAATCGAAGCTGGGATGGTTTCCCAACTCATCAAGAAGCCATGGGGAAACAGGTGATCCAAAAAAACATGGGAAATGTTTTGGGGAGGTGGGTAGCTGACATAGTTGCCATCTGTTTTGCTGTTCTGAACGATCTTTTTTGGGGGGTTCCCCCGAAAACCGAAAACACAAATAAAGAATGAAATAGTATAGTGAAGCCAGGGAACCAATAGTATCAAATGTATCAAGCAAAGGTCAGTGGAGGGCTGCTATGGTTGCCAAAGTTTCTAACTGAATATGTGTGGGCTAGCATCCAATTACAGACTTCCAGAGAAGACTTGTATAGGATAGGAAAGGGTGCAAATGAAGAGATGAAAACAAAGTATAACAAAAAGGAAACGCTGAAAAACTTAGCACTCACAGCGCTGCTTTCAGTTAACAAACACCAGGACACACCATGAACCACCGGTATGGGATTTGAACGAATCTGATCTATATGATATGAGTATAGTTACTGTAAGAATAGTGTGTATTCAATGTCACTAAGATTGAATATGGTGGAACTGAATCATATTCTGGGCTTCTACTACCAGTCCACAATGTCAAATAACTGGCCCTCGCGCCCGGGCCCAGTATCCCAGAGTGAACTTGGGAAGCCAATTGTTGGCTGCTTCGAGTGATTGAACTGATCCAAGTGATCCCCTTTTGGATCCGTTTTGATCTTGTATGTTTGCTTGTGGGGGCAACCGATCCTGATCCTGTGGAAGGTTGACTGTCTCAAAATCCAGCACGTTTCTCATTGTTTCTCCATATGTTCATGCTATTATACCATCTTCCACCACCAGTTTTCTTCGGGATTTCCGCAAAAATGGTGCTACCACCAGGCCGCCTTCTACATGATCGGCGGCATGTCAGATGTCAAAGAGAAGGCAACCGTGGTGCAGTTTAAGCTATGGGGTTTGAATGGTTTTTATTGTCATTGCTGAGGCTGCAAAGCTGGCTGCAGTGGCAGCTGGGAAGTGAGTTGAGAAGCCCTCAGGCCTTGAGGAGGATATTAGTTAGCTAGAGGATCTTAGAGGAATGGCGACATGGCAGGAAATGGCAGAATCAATTCCTGATGAGACTTGATGATTCAATATGATTATTCATGAAGTTCAATGATAAACTGAGAGACACTGAGACATTTGATGAACATTTGCCAGCTACGTGCTTATCTTGTTGTGAACAGAACACGTTTTTCAAGATGGAAGGTGCAGCTGAACCTCCATCGTTTCATTCTCATGACGCCGTATGCTTGGTTTTCTTGGACAAAAAGGGTGGATCATCGATTTTTTCAAACATGCGGAGATGAACCAAATTGAAGCAAGCCACACACAGGGTATGGTATGACTATGGTTTGTAAAATACAGTCATTATATACTTATTAGTGTTATTATATTATTGCATGGATCAATGAGACTATTATATCCCGTTTAAAATTAATTATGACAATGAATGGATTCTAAAGCAGCCAGTGTTTTTGATTGTTTTTGTGGGTTGCCGAGGAGTAGCATTGGGGAGAATCTCTGCGGGTCACCTTAGTTGTGGGGAACAGACATCCAGTGGCTGGGTTGGGTGATAGCAAATCAGGCTGGGAAATCCCTGAGCATTTTAATGGGAAAATCATCGAACTAAATGGGAGGTCCAGCCAGCCATGTTTGACACCAGAGGGTAGTGGCATTCTGAGACGTTCTTTGGCTTGGTGGATTCGAAGCTTGATTTTGCCTCGGATCCCAATATGAATGGGGGAAATGGATGGCTGAAGCACCAAGCAGCTTGCCGGCTTGCAAGCCTTAAAAGCTTGGGATCTCACTCGTGGCACCTTTGGCCCCAAGCGTTGTGGAGCCCATCCCTGTCACAACCAGCCATGAGAGCCTTCCGTGCCGGGGCTTCGGCCCGACTCCCGCGCGCATGCCGCGGCTTTGCGGAGAAGGCTGCGGCAGCAGCGCCCAAGGCCTCTGCGGCCAGTGTCACTTGGAGTTCACATTTCAGTCTCTCCTTCAGTTTCCAAAATTTGAGATATTTGAGTTGGGTCTTCCAGGAGTTGATTCCCAAGTTTGTCTGAGAATCAATCTTATGCTGGTGGGATGTTACTCCAATACTCTCCAATGTTCGACCTACTTGGAAGACTCCCAACGGATTCTTGTTCAGGGGGCCCAACTCGAAATCGCAGCCACTGCAGGTTGGCAAAGTCTCCCAGGTGATTGGTGCAGTGGTGGACGTGCAGTTTGACACGGCGCTGCCGCCCATTTTGAACGCCCTGGAGGTGCAAGGCTTCGAACATCGCCTGGTCTTGGAGGCCTTGAAGCCTCAAAGGATGTGAAGGGGAGGTTATGGTGTGTGGTTGTTTAGCTGAAAGATTGAATCTTACATCGAACATGCATGAAAATATGGTTTATTGTAAGTGGGGACCTGACCACCAGCAAAGACTAGCAATCAAACATGGTAGACTTTGTAGTGTTTATATTTGTCCATTGCCATCTAAAATTGGACCATGGTATATAAACAGGGGAAGGTTAATGTACGGCATCCTCAGCAAAAACACAACTTGAGTTGCTGGGTATCTAAGATTTGCCATGATTTTGTAGGGCACCAACCATTACTAGTGCTAACCATTCATCAACTTCACCTAATCCCCACAGGGGGCCCTGCAGTAAGGTGGCTCAGCACTTGGGCGAGAACATGGTGAGAACTATCGCCATGGATGGAACTGATGGCCTCACCCGAGGTCAGCAGGTAGAGGATACCGGCGCACCCATCACGGTGCCGGTGGGTGAGCAGACCTTAGGCCGCATCATCAACATCATCGGTGAGCCCATCGATGAGCTGGGGCCCATCGAGACCAAGAAGTGGCTGGGCATGCTTATGGACTCGTGGCCCCAAAAGACAGCAGGAATGGGCTAGACATGAGTGCCCAAAAGACAGCAGGAATGGGCTAGACATGAGTGGATGATTTCTGTGCTCCTGAGAGTAGCTATGAATTGGGGGTCCAAAATGGCTACGAAAGGGCTGGATGCCTAACTTTAAAATTGGCCAAAGACATGCCGGTTGTGGGGTGTGAAATCGTGACCTGTGCCACTCAGGTTCTATGCGATCCACAGGCGCGGATGGAAGCTGCGAACACTACCCGATCGTCACTGAATGCTATTGTAAAATGATGTTAAAATGCAGATTTGGGCCTGACTTGTCGCGACAGTTCGGTGGCAAACTACCCGAGAAATCAGAATTGCAGCAAGGACAGAATCTAAAGATCGAACACATTTGCAGAAAAAATATTGTGGAATACCATCGAATACTCATTGACTCATTGACTCATTGACTCATTGTCATGTATCTAAGCAACACCTAGTGATTTGCCATTCTTCAGTCCTATAGATCGAGGTGGAACACTTGCAACTTCTACTTCTAGAATCTGCTAGAAACAGTCATAGATTCCACCCGTTTTGTTCTCAAGTTCTCAATTGTTCTGCGAAGCGCCAGGCCAACTCCCACCTTCACGGAGATGAACACCACGGCCCAGCAGCTCTTAACTGGCATCAAAGTGGTGGATTTGTTGCTCGGCAATCTGGACTTGGGATCAAAAACCATGATTTCTTCGCCAAAGATGGCGCAGCCAAAACCTGCAAACATCATCAGAATGTTGATAGATGTTGGTGAATTTGGTTTGATTATGTCTGATTTGACTGAAAAACAACATAGAGAATCATATTGAATCGTTCACTAAGGGAACATGGGGACTGAACTAACAAAATGGAACCAAATGGTGATTGCAAGTTTTTCAACCTCTGACGATGTCTAAGACAGGCTCCAAGGCTTCATGTTTATATGCACGAGTGATTGAAAAACTGTAATTACGTTATAAATATATATAAATATACCACACCCAGTTTTATCATTTGGGGATGAAACAAAACCTGTGGCTAAGATGAGATTATATCTGGTTGGTGGTTTGGAACATGAATTTCATTTTCCATCATATTGGGAGCTGTCATCATCCCAACTGACATTCACTCCATCATTTTTCAGAGGGGTGGCGAAAAAACACCAACCAGATATGCTTCAACCATTACTGGTTGGTGGTTTGGAACATTTTTTATTTTCCCCAATAGTTGGGATGATGATCCAATCTGACGAACTCCATCATTTTTCAGGGGGGTAGGTCAACCACCAACCAGATTAATTCAATTGTGACTTCACTGGCTTCATCAACAAAGATGGTGTGAAACAATGGGGATGTCGATGCGGATCACCTGGATGAATTTTGCATGGTGCTTAAGGGGTAACTGTCCAAACTGAGCCAGTTTCGGGTTAGTGGATGCTTTATGAATTTCTCTGTATCATTCTGATTAATCCACTATAAATCATTGTTGAAATCCAGGTTATAGTGGATTATTCATATCCCACATATTAATTAGCGTTGAATTCTCATTATTTTATTCAGATATGTGGGGATGAACATCCATTCACCAGCGGCAAAAGGGGGTTTTGACCCATAGTAATTTTGGGGGTTGTTGAAACTCTAGAAGATATTGTTGATGTGTTGTATGTGTTTTAAATGGTTCGAATTGGATTAGCCCCATTTGCTAAGAGATGTTAAAGAGAATTATTCTCTATTATATCCACATTAATTAGCATTTCATAGCGAATCTCTCATGACTTGAAAATTCAAGAAAATTGCCTTTGAATCGCTAAAGCAATAAGCAACCTGCTCAAAAAGTCTGGTTTTTCTGGCGTCGTTTTCTTGGCAGGTTGGCGCCCTATGCCAAGGGAGGAGCTTCGGACGCAAAATTCATGTGGCACAGACCTGTCGTTTTTTTTCGGACATGGGTCAAACATGAGGGATAAGCCAATACATAATGATGGGTTTTGTTTTTATGTGTTTTGTTTAACCAAACACTGGGATATTATCTAGGTACCCTCTGGTGTCATCAATCATGGCTAGCCGGTATCCATCCACCCCAGAAATAGTGCGATGATTTTCCCAGCGAACGACGCCTCCATTGATTTCGGGGGTTTCCCAGACAGCGAGTTGGAAGGTGAAGGCTGAAGAGAGTTAGGAGGGGTGAATCACCCTTCCATGATCAACATCTTATGGAGTTTTGACAAGCCTGCGCGAGAACTCGCAAACCATACAGGATGATAGGGGGATGATAGGGGAATCCTCCCAATATTCGATGGATTGGTTTAAGGGAAAATTTACAGGAAAGCCCCATATTTAATGGGAAAAATCTATGGTTTCCTGTAGATTTTCCCTGAAACCAATCCATTGAAATATGTTTTTCTGAGGGGTTCAGATTGCCTTTGCCAAGGAAAGATTGGTTTGTTCGGAGGCGCCGGTGTCGGCAAGACCGCCGCTTGGCATAGTCCGGCGATTTGGAGGATCATCCCAAGTCGTCAGGTTGAAATGAGCTGATCACATGGTATGACTGGCTTTCGAAATCGAATTACCCTCTGGTTATGTCAAACATAGCGATTGAAAATGTATTATTTATAGTGGATTTATACTATTCAATAGCTATTAATAACTGGGTTACCCTCTGGTAATTTAACAGTTTGCTATTGAAAATGGTGGATCTTTCCATAGTTATGTAAACGTTTACCAGAGGGTAATGTGGGTAAAACAATGCCATAAACCACCCATGACTGAGAATGGATAAAAAACCACTTATTTATGGGGATGACTGGGGGGATTGGTTATTACTGTTTTAACCGCATTTGCCCAGTTGTTGATAATGCTGAACCATGGTTACCACTAGTGACCACTTTAGCCCAGTGGGATGACCTGCCAATGTTGAGCCAGGGGCCGCAAGTGATGACGGTGGATCATGTTTCTGATCTTGGACAATACTGCTTACCTCTGTATGGTGATCATAGTTAGGTATCATATGCCCTATCAGAAGCACGTCATTTTGTGCAATGTATGACCTTCAAGGAATCATTAGTTGATCATCCCTGAATCCATGTTCGGGTGTGTTATATCAAGTTAGTGAAAAGGTTTCGCAAAGATTGAGATCCAGAGGCAAAGCCTGGTATTTCACATTGGAGGCCTATTTTTTTTTGGATTTTTTTTCTTTTACGTTTTTGGATTTTTTTTTGGGTTTCTTGTTTTATCTTGCTTTCTCCTTTTTTTTTGCTTTTTTGCTTTTGTGCTTTTTTGTTTGTTTTTTTTTGTTTGTTTGCTTTTTTTGCTTTTTTGCGTTTTTGCCTTTTTTTTGCTTTTTTTTGCTTTTTTTGCTTTTTTGCTTGTTTGCTTTTTTGCTTGTTTGCTTTTGTGCTTTTTTGCTTTTTGCTTTTTTTGATTTTTTGCGTTTTTGCTTTTTTGCTTTTTTGCTTGTTTGCTTTTTGTTTTTTGCTTTTTGTTATTTTTGCCTTTTTTGCTTTTTTGCTTTTTGCTTGTTTGCTTTTGGCTTTTGGCTTGCTTTCCATGGCTTTTGGTGGTATTTTTAGTATGTCAAACTTGCACATTTTTCAATACACTAGTTTGAATCGACTATATTCATATATATATTTATGTTTCAATTAAAATCATAATATATATATATATACATATATATATGTATATGTATATATATATGTATATATATGCATTTATATACACACTTGTATATTTATATCTAGATATATTTATATTATTTATATTTTCTACTTATATATATTTTTATATATACATATTATTACTATTTATGTTCAAATTCAAATATATATATATATACACATATATATATATTTACATATATATATATATATTTACACATATATATATATACATATATATTTATTTACATATATATATATATTTATTTACATATATATTTACAGATATATATATATATTTACATATATATATATATGTAAATATATTTATATATTTATATTTATGCATGTATATATACACTTAAATATATATTATATTGATATATTTATATTTACATATTCATATTGATATTTTATATATTTATATTTATATTTATATATATTTTATTTTATATATTTATATTTACATATAAATATATATTTATGTACCTATATATATATATACATTCATATGTATATACATATAAATCATATAAATGTATATATATATAAAGAAGTATGTATCTATAAGTATATGTACTGTATTCCACATGTTTCCAGGGTGCATGTCGTGTAGTCTATACACCTTGAGTATCACATTCAACCCAGCACCTTGCATGTAAAATAGGTGTTTCCAATCTGCTTTGGGGGGGAGGCGCTGCGCCCTTGTTTTTGTTTCGACCTAATACCTACATAGGTACATGCATGAGTATTGAGCACATTTAT